GAAAACTATCAAAGGTGGTGTCCGACACTTCATTTGTCAAGGACTTTGAGACGTTCTTTTAGGTGAAAGACGTTATATAAATACATAGTGTTGTGTGGACAGTAAAGTGTGTCACATAATATGGGCAGTGAATGATACTTGCACAAGTATGGTAGCGATTTTCATTGCTGTCAAATGTCAGTGTTGTGAATATAATAATACAATGTAAGAATCCTTGCATTTGCCTTATATCATCGAGATATCTCAAAACGCTTCACAAGAATTTTACTGTGAAGTGTAGTGAATATGTATGTGTAGGCAAATGCAATGTGCACTCAGCAATGTCCCACACTGCGATAACTTGAAAGATACACAGAGGATTGTTGGCCAGGAATTGGAAGAAATTCCCTTCTCTTTTAGTGCTATGGATTTTCAAAAAGCTTCAATGTGAAATGATCAAAAACAGAATAAATATTTTACATTCATTTCAAAACACAAAATTAAGTGTTGAAAAAATATAAACTTTCCCTGGTAGCTTTGAAGGTGGCTTTTTATTGTTTTTTGTTGTCATTGCCATGATTATTTTTAATGAGAAACAAACAGAACTCTCCACAATCATCTAAGTATCTATTTTTGGTTGCAGTTGATCTAATGCATTTTTCATAAATTGTGACAACTCTTTTTTATGTTTTTTCTGGTCGAGAGTATTTATTGGCTTGTCCAGGAAAAATGTGCTGAGAAATACTATTAATTTACCTTGCTTCCAATTTATCATTGGTTGAGGTTGTGCTTAACTCCATTTTATATTATAGAAAAAATCATTGATGGGATTTCTAATTTCTAGGGTTAGTGGTGATATTGGTGATCATAAAATATGCAGTGCTTAAGAACATTTAAATAAGCCTTGGTGAATTGCTATTAACTACTCAACACATAGTTTTATTTTAAAAATCACCATGGTTACAATTCTTGCCTCAACCTGCAATTAAATTTCTTCTACAGAATAAATATTACTGAATTATTTAATATACCAGGACCCAGTGGTGCAATAAGTGGATGGAATCAAGTGGCTTAGAGGGCTCCTTAAATGTAAAGTATGATTTTAGTACACTATTAGAAACTATCAGATCTGCTGGTGTCAGATTGGTGTTTCAGCTTATAGCGTCTCGTTGTCTAAACTATCTACTCTTTAAACATAACAAAATCATTGTGTGTCAGTTGGTAGCAGTCAGATAAAATCTGAAAAATCTTCCAGATAATAGTGGTCATTCACTTCATGGCAGTTTATGGGATATTGCTGTGTGCAAATTTTCTGCTGCATTCAACCAAAAATACACAATCACTACACTTTGCCATAAACCTTCTTAAGTGGTTTGAGATGTCTCGACGATGTGATGAAGCACTATACCAAATGCAAAGATTATTATTATTGATACTCTCTGAGCTGGTGAACTGAGGGTGGGCAGAAACTTGCTGAGTGCAATATATATATTGCAAAGTACAAACCTCACGGTAGCAGTGTTAACTGAGTGAATGTCTAAGTGGAAATGATTGATAGTCGTAATAAACATGATATCAAAGAAGGTGAAGGAAGAGCATAACAAGACATTTGATTGGAACAAAAAGAAAATTCCAATGAGAATCAGATTCTTGCTTTGTGAAGAATATTGGAATTTTTAAATGTGAGTAAATATTCCTCATTATGTCTTATCCGTTTGCAGATGCAAATATTCTTTGTAATTTCATCTTCAATTAATAAGTGCTACAAAATAGGACATTTAATTTATTGGAGTTTGCATATCATTGCTTCTGTAGTTATTACTAATGATGAATGATATTCATTGCTCTGAGAGACTGTATTATACATCCAAGAAGCTGTGCTGATAACCAGCTGACTTACATGGAATAGCTAGATATTATTAATAATAATACCTACATTTGATTTAGTGCCTTTCAAGTTAGAATATGCTGTAAATATAGTGACTGTGTATTTTGTAGGTGAATGCAACAGCCAATTTGAGCATAGCAATATCCCACAAACATACCATGAAGTGAATAATTAATTTTCTTTGAGGGATTGATGACCAGGACACCGAGAGAAAGTCCTTTCTCTTTTTAAATAGTGTATTGGGATCTTTAACTTTGATTTCAACAGGCAGATGGACCTAAGTTTAACATATCATCCGAAGGACGACACCTCTGACAATGTACCACACCCCAGCCTCGCACTGCAGTGTCAGTGAGCTCAAAGTCCAGACATGGGGCTTGAAATTCACAACTTTATAATTAAGAGGCGAGAGTACGACCAGGGACAGGCTCAATAAGCCAATAAGAATAAAATATTTTTAATGAAACATTTATACATTTTATATTTTTAAAAAATCAATATTAGTTATTTAAAGCTAATCAACTGTTGTATATTTCATTGTCCCTCACGGTGGGGTTTCATGGAGATGTTGAATGCATTGCCCAGCATGAGAGCTTTGAAAAACATTGAGTGCTGTGGTAAGATAATTAAAATTAATTGTCTGCATTAATTAACTAGATGACAATGAAGAATCCTTGGTGACATCTTATTCCTGGTCATTCATTAGCTTATTTTTGGGGGTAGGATACTTATTTTACGGCGCATAGTTATATTCTGGAATCTCTCGGAAAGTCGGAATGTTATTCAGTCTGAAAATTGTATAAATTGTTGTTATAGAAATGGTGGCATTTTAAAATAGTTAAATGCACACATTTAACATTCATTCTCTGCAAGTATCCATCTTGCACACAATGTACATGTTCGCCCACAGATAAGCAGTCACTATACTTTACAGTGAATCCTATCAAACGCTTTGAAACGTTTTGACAACGTGATAAGGTGCTATTTTTAAATTCAAGAATTATTATAATAATGCATATTGTGTTGTTTTTCTCTTCTCTTCTGTAAATTGATTGATGTTCATTAGGGACAAGAAACAGTCTGTATATTAGACACAGCAATGGAAAGATACATTACTAAGATTTCTCTATCTTATGCTCGTGATACACCTACATTTAAGTTTTAGGTGAGACCGTAATAGATAGGAACAAATTTCTCATTTACCATCCCACAGTCTTTACGAAGCTTCTGAATGAGATTATTGAATTAGAACCAATTAAACTGAATTTGACAGCAGTTGTGTGCTGGGGATGCATGCCCACTGGGACTCGAATTGCAGCCGGCTAAATCTGATTTCACAAATGATCTTTAACCCATTCAGAGCTCCACCAGCTCCTCAACAGCAGAAATCCAAAACAAATGGGGCAAAGGTTAATTTCTTTATCATTTGTTCCCAAAATGTAATGAATTCAGTGGCATTCTTTTTTGTTCTGCACCTTTCCCCTTTGTTCAAAATTGAACTCTGATTTCTTGACATCTGCATCCAAAAATTGCACTGATGAAAGAGCGCAGTATTCTGGTAGCTGTGACATTTGCAAGACATGTGAAAGGTTAACAACCAAACATGATTGAAGACTTTGTTTTCTTCTTGTTTGGGTTTGGTAGAAACCTAGCTCCCAGAGGTGGAGGATTAAGCTTCCAAACCTAACCCATTATCCCATTATTTCTAATCATCGATTAATCAATAACCTACACGCACATGAAATGTTCCAGATAAATGAAGGTAATCTCATCTGCACGTGGAAGTATTATTGCGTCATAACTTTGAAATGTTGCAAGCAGTGACTTTTCCAATGAAGAAACTGTCTCTTTATGGTGCTATAAGGTTTCATATCAGAGCAATATATTGTGAAGGGCACCTTCAGCTCCCCTCTCGACTCTCTACCCCCTCCTCGCTCCCTCCCTTCCCTCCCCTCACCCTGACCATTTCCCCCCTGCTCGGGTCCCGACCCAACTGTCCAGCGCCTTGGGACGTCCTCCCGACGTGAAAGGCGCTCTATAAATGCAATCTTGTTGTTGTTGTTGTTATCCCAAGATATCAAAATGACGGTTAGAAGCTGATCAGTATGTGGGATCATCCATTGTTATTAGCTAACAATCACAACTAAAACTGTATATTTTTCTTCAAGTAATACCTTCATATTTCATGTTCATTGTTAATACATTATAGTTCTAACTCAAGTGTAATGTCATTACCATTTTCCGAGGAAACAAGAATTTATATGAACGCATCTTTATAAATAGATGAATGAATTAGGCCATACAATGTGCTTTGCTATAGTACTCCTTGCTAGTTAAAAACCTTGGGAAAACTGTAGCTTAGTCTACTTCTGCCATTCTTAAATCTTCAGACAAAAACTCAAAGGGTTTCATTCTGTATACTCTTGTCAAGAAGCTATGAATAGCTTAGAATAAGAGAGTAAAAAAAAAGACTACTTGATCAAGATGACTATTGCACGTCAGAAACTTTTACCAGAAAAGGCCAGAATACTGGGAACAGCTTGACATTGTAATAGGAGTACAGTAATGTAGGATAAGGTATATAAGATATCCTGGAATGATAAGAACAAATGGGCCAAAGCACCTTCTTCATCAGACCCTCCCATGATCTTGTGAACTCTTGGAGGAGGAGAGGTCCATTTTGTTTTTAAACCCACTAGGGCAGAGTATCTCATTATGTGAAGGTTAAGTTATGTTCAAAGATTGTAGTCTCTGCCCATGATACAGAATGTATCATTAAAAACTGGATTACTAAATAAATGTAGTTTCTGGGCCCATGCATAGAGTCTAATTTTTTTGTAAAATTGAATCATTAGAAATCTATTTTTCTTATCATCTTATTCCTTTCGTGATTTAATCCACTGAATTTCAGTAGTAATGAGATACTAGAAATTCCATCTAATTTGTTAAGAATCCATAAGTAATAAACATTGGTTTGCTATCATTCTTACTTTGGGATTCTTACATTATCAAATGGTTTGTTACAATTTGCAAAGTGTACAACAACCAATTGATATGAGTCTGAGGAAGATTGACTTAATGAACGTCTAAATCAATATTTCTAATATGTTCTTTTCCTTCCTCTTTTTGGTAGACACAAACTTTGTACTTGGTAACGCTCAGATAGTGGACTGGCCTATCGTGTACAGCAATGATGGATTCTGTAAACTGTCTGGATATCATCGAGCAGAAGTTATGCAGAAGAGCAGCACTTGCAGGTATTGAAAACGTTACCCATTTCACTTTCAACCCAAGCGTAGCTGGAGGATTAACAGATGAAAAGCAGAATAACATGGTCCACATTTGCTTATAATTAGTAATTGTCAAGGACTTTTCTTGTGCAAACTGATCACAGGACATTATTCCAATAGTTTTGCATCTGGTCATATAGGTAAATTTTACTTGAAGTATTTTGGCAAGGAGCCATCCTTGCTAAAGGTGGCAAGCTTCAAATATACGGTCGATGCATGCATTCCAATACAGCACTACCGTGTTATAACGTAAAATTCTATCTTTCACAACTTAATTATGCTCAAACTGGTGTTCCCACCAGTTAACAAGGCAGAAGTTTTAAATGATTCAAATATAGGAGGATCAGCATCACAGCCTTGGATGCTGATGACATCACAGCCTTGGATGCTGATGACAGCATCAGCATCCAAGGCTGCACTCTCCACCTCTCAAAGCAGTCAGGAACCTCGGGGTTCTGTTCGACCCTGAGCTGTCCTTTCTCCCTCATATCCGCGCCACAACTGGCACCGCCTTCCATCACCTCCGGAACATCGCCAGACTACGGCACTACCTCACCCCTCACGCTGCTGAAACTCTGGTCCACGCCTTTATCACCTCAAGGCTGGACTATGGGAACTCTCTCCTCGCCGGCCTTCCCGGCACCTCCCTCCACAAGCTGCAGGTCATTCAGAACTCTGCAGCTCGTGTACTGTTCCGCACCAGGCTTCGCGACCACATCACTCCCACCCTCGCTCGCCTCCACTGGCTCCCCATCCCCAAGAGGATCGAATTCAAGATCCTCATCCTCACCTACAAGGCCATTGACAGCCTCGCTCCCTCCTATCTCTCCGACCTACTATCCCCCTACCACCCGCCCATACCCTCCGTTCCTCTGGCTCTGGTCTGCTCCACATCCCCCGCCCCAACCGCCCTACCATCGGTGGCCGGGTCTTCATCCTCTCAGCCCCTAGGCTCTGGAACTCCATCCCCCCGTGCCTTCTCCTTGCTTCCTCCCTTTCCTCCTTCAAGGCCGGTCTCAAGACTTTTCTCTTTGACCGTGCCTTCAGCTCCCCTCTCGACTCTACCCCCTCCTCGCTCCCTCCCTTCCCTCCCCTCACCCTGACCATTTCCCCCTTGCTCGGGTCCTGACCCAACTGTACAGCGCCTTGGGACGTCCTCCCGACATGAAAGGCACTCTATAAATTGAATCTTGTTGTTGTTGTTGTTGTTTGTATAAGAATTGATCATGAACCCATTAACCTACAGGCAACTGATATCTTTGTGAGAAAGCGTGAGTGCCATGATCACTCAGAGATCATTTTCAAAGAATTATGATCAACATTAACATCATATTTGTACGTTTCATTTTTTTAGAACATTTACATCCTGAACTAATCTAGTTGCATCAATGGCAGAACTGTTGAAGAGGTATTACTCATGCTGGTGAGATGCAAGTGTAGTAACAGTAGTGGAGTTACAGGGAGTACTTGCCCTATGCTCATGACCTGATTGTGCCTATGATTGTGCACTGATCATTCTTAATGAATAATTCCTTTTGGAATGATTTGCATTTAATGGTCTAAGTATGTTAGAACGCTCTTACAACATGCTTTATTAAAATGTGAGTTTGCTTTTCGGGTACTAGACTCTGACATTTACTTACCAAAACATCTAAAGTGTGCATAGAAACCTGGTGGCCTCTTGCAAATGCTGGAATGCTCTTCCTGCACTAAAAAATAGCCAAATTTTAGGGTCATCAGTCACTGCTGATGTTACTTCCAGTGTAGCATGCAGGAAGCGACATTGTAGTGATCTGATGAAACTTAATGCATACTCGAAGGATCGTGTCTCATTATAGTGCTGGCTGAGATGCATTACCTGTTACCTGTTGAAACTCATCATTCATGTCTGCTCATCATTAAGAAATGGGGCAACAGAGAGTATTGTTAACCAAGTGTTTCAGCTTCAGGTCTTCTCTTAAACAAAAGGTAAAGGCAGGCTCTGCATGACCCAGCACCACAATTCATGATGCATATATTCTCTCAGCCCGCTCAGTCCAGTCTGGACATTTAACAGCAGCAGCCAGTTTGTACACAGCAATGAGTTCTGGTTTGGCTGCCCTTGGAGTACTATGTACTATGTTGTGTACAGTTCTAGTCATTGCAACATAAGACAGCTGCCCAGCCCTGGAAGCAAGTCAGAGGAGAGGGGGTAGAGAGGTAAACTATAAGGGCAGCTAGATAAGGCTGGAACAAGTTACCAGAAAAGGTGATGGAGATCAAGAACTTGGATTTATTGAAGAAACAGAATGAAGGTTGGTATTCTCGCAGGAGAAGCTCAAATGGGCCCTAGATCTTTGAACATCCTGACCTTTTTTGTGATCTTATGTGATCATCATGCTTTGGAGAAAATCATTGCCAATTATGCTGAAATATCAAAGCAACAGTTTAATGTCTTTAATATCCCAATTTGTATTCACAGCTTCATGTACGGGGAGTTAACGGACAAGGAAACAATTGAAAAAGTTCGACTCACATTTGATAACTATGAGATAAACTCATTTGAAATCCTGATGTACAAGAAGAACAGTAAGTGAAACCAGAGCATCTTTTGGGTGTATCCCAGGAGTCTGTAAGGTGTTTTTGGTTGCAGTGTATGGAAAGAGTGGTAGTGTTTTATGTAAATGTTACTAAGAAACAGGTATTTCCGTGACCTTTCAATCAGAAATAATCCTGATGGTTCTTTCTTTTGTTCTAAAGTATTTCCCAACTAAGTTATAACTTGCTAGAGACTGACCTCCCATGCTGTTTTATGGCAGAGTTAATAGCAGGACCAGTTTGAGGGGCTAGCAAAAGCCTATGATAGTGGTCACGTCCGACAGTTGATGAACGCCTCCCAACAACAACAAACACAATACAGTGCAAACTTTTATGCATCAGTAGTTTAGATTATTGATGGAATAAAATGTATAATGTGTGCAGCTCTAAATTGCTATAGTTGTGCAAAGCATTATTATTATTATTAAAGTGTTGTTGGTGTTTAATTTACTTGCTGGAAAGCTCCTTGTTTGTGTGTTGCATTTGCAATTGATGTATTGCTGAAAGTAAACCAATGGTTTCAGAAATGAACCTTTAGTGAGAATAACAACAACCAATTGCATTTATATAGCGCCCTATATGCAGGATAGCATCTCGGAGTGCTGCACAGTGGCAGAGTTAGATACTGAGCAAGGGAGGAAGGGGAAGGTGACAATAGAGAAGAACATTGTCTTTGATTTTCTAGCATTCAAGTGCACTTTTAAAGTCAGCTACAAACATGCTTTCCTCATGTTTGCATGCAAGCTGCCAAATTTGCTAATGGAAACAAACTATAAAAATCTGAAAAAAATGAATTAACACACTCCCACCCACTTGTAACACACTCCCACCCAATTGTATGAGTTTCACATATGAAGGATAATGTGTGTAAACGCCTGAAGGATGGCTAATCATTTCTCCTCTTACACACATTATAAAATGCCTCATTATAAAATGCCAACTCTAGCGAGATGCACTAGTTGTGTTCCTGCAGACCTGCCCCCCAGCTGGCACACTCATTGCTCCCTTTGTGCAGGCTGGTTCCCGGCGCTAACAGAGAAACACAGTGAAGAATGTTTGAAACGCGTCTGCTCTGTGTAATACTATTTTGATTCAGCAAACCCAGGAGAACGCGTGCTGGGTAGATTTTAATCACACTGATGCCCATGTGCTGACAAGGAAAGCTTATTGTGTTCCTTAACCCACTTTTCTGATCCACATATATATTTTTTTCTCAGTGGTATATTTTGTTCTTGTGAAACCACTGAACTTTTTTTTACTTTCATGTTGCTATTTTATGGGTAGTATTTTAGCTCAGTGGTGAAGCCTGCACAGTATCAGACTTCACGATGATGCCAATAAAGAGTGTTAATATGATAGTACCTTTCTGCACTATCTCCTTGAAAGGCTGTAAGGTCTAGCCTTTGTTTGCCTGTGTGCATGACATTTTCAAAGGAGCAAATTATGAATGAATTTACACACCATAGTTATTTTCAGATCATTGTAATAATAATAATAAGTACCTATTTTTAAAAAAAGCAACGTTGAAGTGATTTTTCACAAAAATGTTTTTGACCAGTTATTTTAACCAAATATACTTTGAATAAATTTTGGCAATAAATATTAAGTGTATTTGTCTCTCTTTGCTATGGGTCTCCACTCAAGCCATTATGTAATGTCAGCTATGCATGTTTGATTTTCATCAGAAACACTGGTCTTTTCACTCTGTTGGAGAGTCATTGCCACTGATAGAACAACAGAAATTTACAGCACAGAAGAAGGCCTTTTGGCCCCTCGTCTCCCTGCCATCTCCCTTAAGAGCAATCCCTTTAGTCCCATTTACCTGCTCTTCTCCCAGAATCCCGTAGTTGAGTTCATTTAAGGGATTTATCTAGTTCGTTATTGCGTTAGTGCATTTCTCCCAAGCATGAAATGCGTTCTGATGCTTGTTGGAGGCATAGACCACCTGAAGTTTATAATAATAATAATAATAATTCTTGGATTTGATATAGCGCTTTTCACATCTTCTAGATGTCTCGAAGCACTACACAGAATATACTGTAAAGTGAATTAACTGTATATTTGTGGGCGAAATGCAGCAGCCAATTGCGCACAGCAGTTAATTTTTAAAGGTTGCTAACCCACTAGTGCAGGTGCTAGGAGCAATTTAATGCGTCAGTTGTGCCACTAAAACAGATTAGTTCACCTCTTTGAGTAGCTCACTGCTTAAAAATCTAGCCTTTAATGATAATTAAAGAAATCTAAAATCAGTTCAAATGCAATGTTGAAGTTTTTTTAAAAAGGTTCACAATTTAATATTCAAATCTAAGTTTTTGAAGGTGGCTTCAGGAACACATCTGTTGCTGTGTCTCAATGTATCAGTCAGAGTGTGTGATGGTACAGGGGAAGTCTATATATGTGAGTGGAAAAAGTGCAGGAGAATGATAGCCATGTACATCAATCCACTTGTAGCACTGCTATGGTTTCATTTAGATTGTGTTTGAGACTTCTCTAATCAGTGCTTGATTTTACAATGTTTAGTTTGCTTTTACATTTGTGGACTTTTTGCAGTAATAAATTCCGCCATTCAGAATCGAATGTAATTCACCTCATTAGGTTGAAGTTGTAAGAATGGACTCATTTTGAAAGAGATTGATGCTGCTTTGAAACCTTTGAGTTTGTTGCAACGTAGAACAATGCACCAAAAGTCTTTTTATTTGATGCTGAAAAGTAATTACTGTGTTTTTTTTTAACAGGGACACCAGTCTGGTTCTTCATAAAAATTGCTCCGATTCGAAATGAACAAGACAAGGTGGTTTTATTCCTTTGCACTTTTAGCGACATCACAGCTTTCAAACAGCCCATTGAGGATGATTCAACCAAAGGTAACAATTCTAGCCACTGATTGTTGTATAAAATTAACTCACTGCTAAATTATCCCACACTTATAGCGTTAAAAAACTGATCAAAACTGTGGTTAAGATCTGACTGTAAAATAACCTAGCCGTGGTTAAGACCTAACTGTCAGGAAATCTGTCAGGAAAGAATTTAGAGATAAATTTGCTTTATAAAATGCACCCATAAATCATTTAAAGGCATTTGAATCTATCTTGGTACGACACTAAATGTTTCATGATTCGAGTCATTTTGAAATATTCCATACTACCCAAATGTTAGCTTTGAGTTTCTGAAAGCGATTTTGCATTATCCTTGACAGGCTGCGGCTATTTACACGAGAGCAGAAAGGTTGAGAAAATACCTGGTCCAGGTGTTCACAGCCTATGCAGGACCTTTTGGTAAAGGTTAACCAGTAACAAAAAGCAACCAATTTAAGATTACCACCAAAAAAACAAAAGAGAGTTGTTAGGAGGGTTATTATGACATGGAATGCCCATCCAAAAATTATGGTTGTAGCAGAATCAATAATAAAATATATGAAATGGCACAGTGAAAGGGCAATGGAGGGGACTAAATGATAACCAGCACAGACACGATGAGCCAATGGCTTTCTTCTGCCTACAAAATTTTAACATTATAGTATTAAAATATTGCATTGGACAGCAACGTTTAACACTTTTGGACTGAGCACAAGCTAACAAGTTCTGATCTCAAGGATTTCATAATTCTTGTAGAAGGTAATTGATTTGCCATCTCTGATTACTTCCGTTACATTTATAAATGAATTTGTTGCTTCGCTTTGCAGAAATTAGTATCTCCAAATTGTTCCTAAGCGTTGCCTATAGCGTGTGAAACTAATTTATCTAAAAACTTAACACGATTGCACTTTGGAGTCCACTTGAGTAGAGATGTGAGAAATTGAACCGGAGGAGGCTAATGGAAATATATGTACGACATAGTCCTCATTGGACAAGGTTGTATTTCTTTGCTTTGATTTTCTAGAGATCTGAAAAGGTGAACAATGGGCATGGGTTTGTGGTATTTCTTAATAAGAAATAGGTCATATCGAAATTCCTAAAACAATAGAGAAAAGAAGAAGGCCATTCTGCCCATTGTGTCTGTATTGGCTCTTTACAAGAACAATCTTTTCAGTCCCATTTACCTGCCCTTCCCCCAAGTCCTTGCAAATTACTTCTTTTTGAAATCTGTGTATTGAAATGCAGTATGTCAGATTGTCCTCTTCCGTCACTATTATTTGCAAATTATAGTGAAAAGAACTGTTGTTGCCATTTTTATTCTATAATATCCAGTCTCAAAATTTACTACTAAAAATTGTAAAATTGTGATGACTGGGGGAAAAAAAGATACTCTATTATTAATCACTGAGACAGTTTTTGTCTCATTCTCAGCCCTTTTTGTGCAACAGTTAAAATCAGATCAGAGAAATAAATTTCAAGTTCTAATTCTTGTCAATGCTCCAATTGTAGATTGTGTGGGAGCAGAGTTCCTGCGAGTGGGCATGGGCTACTCCTGTGTTCCTTAGTTAAGGAATTCCATTAGCTGCATATTAGACAACGTTATACAATTTATATATTTTTTGCGCCTCACAAGCACCTTAAGTGCCTCACACAGCTGAGCTGGGTGGGGTGGGTGAGCTGAAGGGAGTGGGAAGAGAGGGGGGAAAAGATCACCAGAAGAGATAGGTCCTTAAGATGTTTTTTAAATGTGGGGAGAGAGGAAGAGAGAGGAAGAGAGAAAAGGGGCAAGGCGGAGGGATGCAGTTCCAAAAAGCAGAATGTCTGAAAGCTTGTCCACAGATAGTGGGTTAGACCAGCCGGGGGATATGAAGTCAGCTGGTATTTGCTCAGTGGCGGGAGCGGCCAATTCAGCAGATTTGCAGTGAGGTCGCTGAGGTGAGACTGTGGAGGGATCTGAACGTAAGGACAAGGATCCCATTTTCTTCTGTCCTTTCTTGGAATGTGTCTATATTTTGCATTTCGCCCACAAAATATACAGTCAATTCACTTCACAGTATATTCTGTGAAGTGTTTTGAGACATCTCAAAGAGGTGATAAGGTGCTATATCAAATGCAAGGATTATTATTATTATATTTACAACATGTTAATTGTTGAAGACTGGACAGTATGCTTGCTTATAAATCGCTGTGTTTGTTTGTAGGCTGGGGTAAATTTGCCCGTCTGACAAGGGCACTCACAAGCAGCAGAGGTGTTCTACAGCAGCTAGCTCCAACTGTGCATAAAGGAGAAAGTGTTCACAAGCACTCAAGGCTGGCTGAGGTGAGTTCTGTCTTAACAAAACAGTAAGAACAAAAGGGGGAAATACAACAACAACAGGATTACATTAGTATAGTGCCTTTCATGTCAGGAGGACGTCCCTTTTACATTTTAAACTTCAACCAGATAAATTTGGGGTTTTACCCAATCCACGACTGTTTTGTGGGACACTGCTGTGTGCAATTGGCTTCCCACACACAAAAAAACAGTCAATTCACTTTACAGTATATCTGTGAAACACTTTGAGATGTCTAAAAGATGTGGTAAAATGTTATATCATATGCAGGGTTTATTATTATTAAATGGGCACATGCTTGATCTGGAGGACGTTAAAGATCCCATGGCACTATAAGAAAAGGCAAAGGAGTTTCTTCTGGGGTCCTGGCCAATGATCCTCCAGATAAAAATTGGTTGTTCAGTTCATGCCTGTTTGTTAAACTTTGTTGTGTGCAAATTGCCATCATTATGGTGACATTATGACCTGGGCGTTAGCCACTTGATAGCATTTCTGGGTAGCACTGGCATTATAAGCGAGACAGTGCTATGGGCAGGGAGTACTGTTATAATGGGATTGCCCCATATGTTTTAGTGCTGGCTTTAGTTAATATTATTTATTATTTATTATTAGTTATCCATCTATAATAAGGACTCTGTTTAAGTGTCCTTGAGTTTATTCAGAGAATGCCATAGACGTTCTGATGTTTCAAAACTTTGGTTTCTTCAATTCAACTTTGGAGTAGTCATCTTTACAAATTTACAGGTGGTTATTTTGCACATGTCATAGGGAAGAAAGGACCTTGAAGGCTTGTAAATGTCCTCACGTAGTCATGTGTTAAAGTATGCTAGCTGGAGCCAATTTGGCTTCCATTAATAACAAGTGTCACATAACATCATTTTTATCATGTGCAGAAACCTGCTGAGGAGATTAGAGGCAAAAAGTTAGATTCCAGTCATCCACTCAAATGCAAAGAAACTGTTAAATACCATTCCCAGGAATATAAATGACATTGGGTTTTAACAGCAGAATTTGTTTGTTCTGAAATCTATAGTAAGCACAATATTTATCCATTGATTTCTTCAAAGAGAACAATTTCAAATGAAAAAATTGGAATATTGTTGTTTGACATTGGCTCTTATTAATTGCTTGTTCAGGGATGTCAGTTTTTTTTAAACACACTGGGGTCTGATTCTTCCTAAGTAATGCTTATAATTAGTTTCCATGACAAAACCTTGCATTCAGACTTCAAAGCTGCCATCCTCTTGAAACACTGAATACTTTGAAGTCCTTCTGAATGCTGCGGTTAGCAATTACTTGCAGTCGGAGGTGAATATAAGTATGCACCTTTCTCATCTAGATGAATTGTTAATATGCAGAATATGATTGCATTGAAAGGAATTTTCACTCTAAAAAAATTGGTAATTTGAATTTCTCCACTAAGGTGAATCATGGAAGACTTATTGCATTGAGCAATTATTGTCCTTATATGCCTGGGTAACATTAACTTATCACCATCTTAATAACCAGCATAGCTACTGTTTATTTCTCATATGTTTCTAATGTGTTTTCCCTCTCTCCCAATTTGCTGCTAAGCGTCCTGAAAGACAAAAAACATTTGCCGGAGCTCAGAAAAAAACATTGGAACTTTCACGAAGTAATGTAGGCCACAAGAGCGTGGATGCAGTTCCACAGCCATGAAATCATTCCCAAAGTTTGAAAGCCAAATTACTAACCATTATTTGTCTGCATTGGGCAGGTATTACAGCTTGGCTCGGAGATTCTTCCACAATACAAACAAGAGGCACCAAAGACTCCACCGCACATCATCCTGCACTACTGTGCATTCAAAACTTCCTGGGATTGGATAATCTTGATCCTGACCTTCTACACTGCAATTATGGTTCCCTACAACGTTTCCTTCAAAACCAAACAGAACAATGTGACTTGGCTAGTAGTTGATAGCATTGTCGATGTCATCTTCTTGGTGGACATAGTGCTCAATTTTCATACCACTTTTGTTGGGCCGGCTGGAGAAGTGATTTCCGACCCAAAACTGATCCGTATGAATTACTTGAAGACTTGGTTTGTTATAGACCTCCTGTCCTGTTTGCCATATGATGTCATCAATGCCTTTGAGAACGTGGATGAGGTTGGTACCTGATCTTCTGAGAGATTCAATAATTTTATAATCCACCAAATGACAGAATGACCTTAATGTAATTGTGAGTTTTTTTAAAAAGTTTAAGTGGGAATTAAAATATGTGAATGGAATTGGTGCATTTTTATTTGTAAGATTTTTTTCCACTTTCATTCTTCATTTCATTTATAGTGCACATTTTATAAGTGTGCGGATGACATTCCGTGGATGAAGTGACCTTGAATCGACATTTTTGTACTTCCAAGGAAATTGGACCTTTTTTCCATGTCTGATATGTTCCAGATAATTCCACCCTCAATTTGTCTGTTAGAACACTAATATTTCCACTTTCTGTTGTGTCAAGGTTATCTGTCGTGTTAAGCTTCTCAGTAATGATTCACTTTCTCTTCTGGAGGTGCAATTGATTGGTCATAATTTTTAAATGCAAATGCTTTACAGTAAAATATCAAACCTTTATATTCTCCAAGTGTGCCTGCTAGTGATGGCACATTTATGAGGCTGTTAGAGCTGTAATGTTTACAGTGAGTCCTACTCTTCCCTTTCTGAGCCCTAAATAAGCATCAAAACAATCTGATCATTTTTCATTTTGCCCCTTTTTGGGGTTTTGTTAATGCATTAGAACTTATGATGTTAAGTTCACCCAACTGGACATGAAACTAAAATCCCAATGGTATTTCTGATCTGCTTTAGAAATACTGAATATTTAGGGACCATTTCTGACTGTTGAGTTCAGAAAGCACAAAACAATTAGTTTCCCTGCGTGGTTTCCTTGACTGGTGAATGATACATGGCTGACATTTGTGGCTGGATCCACAGCAGCAGAGTTAGGTCTGCAATGTTCTGGTGAGAGCTGCTTTCTCTAATCAATATTTTCACTTCAAGGAGAAACAATCCCTGATTTTTGCTCCTCCCAAAAAAATAAAATCTGAACGCTCAATTTCACCACTGCCAGCATTGAACAGAAACTGCTTGTGTCAAACCACTTTGGGATAAAACTCACATTCGCAGCAGAATTACATTTGCAGCAGAAGATGGTCAAAAGCTTTATTGCAATTCAACTAGTTGCTTTAAATGTCCAGTTGATGGAGTACTTTTTTCTTGCTCATCAATTTTTCTCCAATCACCTGTCCGTCTCTCTCCACTCCTTTTTCTCCTGGCTCCAGGAGCCTACCGGTGCGGCAATTACTCTTATGGAATCCTTGGCAGTGAGTGACAGCGGACTACTTAACTATAGGGGGGACGGGACAATTACTCTTGTGGGATTGCTGACAGTGAGTGTCAGCAGACTAGTTGATTATGGGGGAGGGTGGGGAGCACTGCAGCTGAGCTTGATGCTACTTGATCATCCCTGCCCCATGCAGTGGTCATGATCTGGAACCTGGTTTCCCGCAGTTCTTCAAAAAAAATTAAGACGTAATTACATTTTGCGACAGTGGTTTTAGACTAAGACCATACAAATTTCAGGCCTCTGCTGCTTCAGTTTAAATAGATTTTTTCTGTTCACACCACGTCTCCTTTTCATGGAGTGTAGAAATCCTGCACAGCCTGATAGTTTTATAATGTGCTGAAAAATGGAGACTGATACTGTGATTAATCGTGCGCCACTTTTATTTGTTTTCATCGACATTAATGCACAAAAATGCCATGTGTAATAATTGAACTGTGATCTACAGCACTTTATAAATGTGAGATCTTGACATGAAATCACTGTTCTGTTATATTTTACCTTTCTTCTTGGTTTCTATTTTTTTCCATTTGCATGCCTCTTTATTTGCATGGCTTGGCACACTCCCCCTGCCTATATTTTGGGGTCTGAAGAACTGGAATCACCGTGCTGTGACTAAAGTAGGCTTTACGTTTGTTTAGTGTTTTTTCCGTAATGTGCTTGAAAGTCATTGTGCGATATTCATTATTTCAGAAGGCCACCTTTGCATTACTTAACATGTGTAATAGATTTATTGTCCAGTATTGATGAATTAGGCATTTACTCAAGTTTACTACTGCTTTATTGAGTTAGGTTCAGGTAATAATTGGCAGAAAAGATAGTACAAAGTGTGCTTTACCACATATGTAGTTCGTATGTAATTGTGTTTGTGCCTATGTGAGTGTATGTACAGGTCTCTTTGTGGGTGTATATGTGAGAGAGTGTGCATACGCTCTGTGTATATGCATTTATTTATCCTCCTGACATGAAAGGCGCAATATAAATGCAATTTTTTGTTGTTAATTCTTTACAGGGCATCAGCAGCCTCTTCAGCTCCCTTAAAGTTGTTCGGCTTCTTCGCTTAGGCCGGGTGGCCCGAAAGCTGGACCATTACATCGAATATGGAGCTGCTGTGTTAGTGCTACTCGTTTGCGTTTTCGGCCTTGCAGCACACTGGCTGGCCTGCATCTGGTACAGCATTGGGGATTACGAAGTGATTGATGAGGAATCAAACCGGATAAGAACAGAAAGCTGGCTGTATCAGCTGGGGGAAAACATTGGAATGCCGTATCACTTTAATGCAAGTGGGACAGACAAGTGGGAAGGAGGCCCAAGCAAAGACTCAGTTTACATCTCCTCACTGTATTTTACGATGACCAGCCTCACCAGCATCGGGTTTGGTAACATTGCCCCAACCACAGACGGGGAGAAGATCTTTGCTGTGGCTATGATGATGATTGGCTGTAAGTACTTTGAAAGCTTTTATTCACATTGTTTCCATAGAAACAAGTGGCAGGATCAAAGCCCCTCATTTCTGTAGGCAAGAACTATGCATTAAATTGGCCTACATGCCCAGAATCGCTATGAAGCCCAGAAAACAAGGGTTTTTTCATGTCCAATGTACAGTGTTGATTTTTGTCCCCAGTTTTCATCGACATATGGAAATTGAGAGACTTATTGTGTTTTTAAGTATGTGAACAGATACAAACTGAGAGATATGTCATGGGAGCACAATGGGAAGACACAGCCAAATCCTGGATTTTTTCCAGAGTGTGCATTCTGATGGTTCTCATTGTTGCTTCAATGACAGCAGCGTCCTAATGCAGGTTAAGCTTGTGCTGTGCAAGACGTATGTCCAAACAGTTCTCCTTCATGGTTCTGAACTCCTGGAGTCCAGGACCAGGTAGTGAGATCATTGGTGGCAAATAGAAGAAGCACCTGCAGGGAGGGAGGGGCTGAAGGGAGGGCATATTCGCTATATTCAGGAAGCACCACTGATGTAATTTTCTTTGTGAAGCACCACTCTCATCAGTTCACGTGGGCTACAACTGTACACTATACACAATAAGTGCTGCGGCTCTTGTGAACCTAGACGTTGTCCCTTTTTAACTTGGGAAGCGGCGAATACTTGGTGTACCGTGCAGGCCCACAGAACTAAATGTTTCTGGAAGCTAACAAAGCGGAGTCTGATCCCGAACCAGGGTGAGAGGGAGTGGGGAGGTGACGGTAAACACGATCAAAACAGAAGGTCTTTAGATGGGATTTGAAACTGGGGAGGTAAGTGGCAAGGCGGAGGGATTGAGGGAAAGAGTTCCCGAGTTTCGGGGCATAGTGGCTGAAGGCACGGCCACCGATGGTAGAGCGGAGGTTCACTAGAGATTTTCCTTATCGCAAAATCCACAGGCCTTGTGCACTTCCATACTTTCTTTGGCAAATAATTCTGCAGTTGAAGATTGGAGAGCATGCAGGAACACCCAGCTGGTGCCATGCTGCCCTGGGATCCACAGCTCCTGAACTGTCCTAGGCTAAACTGTGCAGGACTCAGTCCTCCAAGTAACATACACCAGAATGTAAGGAGCAGGTCTCAGTGATGTAGAAAATCAAGGATCCCTTGCTTGAAGGGAAAAGATAATTGTATAACATTTTTTTTCTTCCATAGCTAGGGGGAGTGCTTTGAACAGAAATTATTCTCTCTACACTTTTTCTTCTCCTTTAAGGACACAGAAAAGTTAAACTTTTCCTCATTCATTTGTTCCTCATCAGTATGGAAAAATATATTAATGTACAGTTTAAGAAATGCAATTTGTGTAAATGCAAGTGAAACATAACTGGAATCAAGTTCCTCAGCTGTTATCAAGTTTAATAAAGTCACAAATCCTGTAAAGCGTTTTGAGCTTTGATGATGTAATAAGGCGTTTATATCAAATGCAAGATTTATTATTATAAATCATATAAATATTATTTGTGCACTTAATTAAATGAGAAATGTAACTATTGATTCTAACTTTTTAGAATCAAACTTATGTGTGTTGTTAGTTGTCATTTTGAGGAGACCACGAGACGTTTCTGTGCAGCGGTAACAATTTTTGAGCTATTTGTTAGTTTTAAGAAGATTATATGATTGGGATATGTAGCAAAATAATAATTTTGGTGGTTATGTTATCCCACTGCTTCCATTATGCAATAGTTATTCAAATTACTGCTGTCATTCTAAATGCAAAATATGGCAGAATATGATGACAGACGTTATTGTGCAACTCAGAACTTCACAAAGAAGCTGTTTGATAGCTTCCACATAATTGAAGAGCAGTGTTTAAAATATATTTTAAAAAATCACAATGCCAGATATTCTTTCATCTAGAATGTCTATTGTGTTGCATAAATTTTTCTGCCAATTTACAGTCGGCATCATAGCAACAACTTGCATTTATGTTCACTGTACAACATTCACTGTGCTACATTTATGTCACTGGGAGCAAAGTAGCTTTGCTCCAGGGAATAGAACAACGTAGAGTATTGAGCCCTATTTATCCTTCTTGCTGCTCCATCATTGCAGTGAACTGTAAGGCAAAAATAAAACTTCGCTATTTGCCATTCTGCACCGGTAGCACAGTTAACTTGCACAGAACACTGAGGTTGGAAGGTTTTCAATGTCAAACATAATAACATTTAAAATGAACTATTTGGATTATCCAATAGTGATTGTAGCAAAATAATATTTTTTGAGATTTTATTGGCCACCACTGCAATAATTTTTATTATCTTAACTAACCCCTTATCATATTTTATTTGGATATATAATAATTAATGTATAATATAATAATCCTATAATCATCCTTCACTGACCTGCCAATCAGTGCGGTCCCCAAGTTGATCCCTATTGCTGTTCCTACAATAGGAATTGTGCTTCATTGTACCATCATGGAGGCTGTTTTTAGTTGGTTTCCTGTTCTAGTAAAGTGAAATGCTTCTTGAGTACATAATAGAGAATGAGCAATAAATAAGAAGTTGGATTCTTATAGTGCCTAATCACATTGCAACATCTCAAAGCATTTCACACTAATTGCTATCAAGTATAGTGACTATTTTTGTATGTAAATACAGCAGCCATTTTTGGTCTATCGTGTCTATGCCAGCTCAAAACAAAGACCTGCAAACTTGTATGTTTAGGCATAAATAAATACATAATGACTGTAAAATTACCAGCAGTGATGGTAGGTGGGTGAGGTTGAGAGAAAGGATAGAGTAAATAGGTTACGTATCTGTGGTACAGATAAACTCTACTGGGGCCCAAATACAGTGGGCCTCGCAGAATTTAGGTTCATGACTCTTCAGACAAAAAGGTCATTGTGGTGATTTCTTTTTTTTTATTCGTTTATCGCCTGGTTTAGTTGGTATCACTTGTTTCTGAGTCAATCTGTTGTTGGTTCAAGCACCACATTGGGACTTGGAACTTATATAGTGTAGGCTGACACTCCAAACAGTACTGGGGGAGAACTACATTGCTGGAGGTCCTGTCCTCCACATAAGACATAAAACCGAGGTCCCGTCTGTCACTAATTGAAAAGAGAAGGGAGTTTCTTCCGGTGTCCTGGTCAACAATCCCCAACAACATTGGTGATTCACTTCATGGTAGTTTGGAGACATTGCTCTGCACAAATCGGCTGCCGCATTTTGTCACAAAGCTCGCAGTCACCCCAATTTACAGAAAGTCCTGTGAAGTGCTGACTCTTGCCATTCGAGAGGGACAATTGACATCTTATTGGTAATTTAAGCTAATTTATTACTAGGTTAGTTATTCCCATAGGCATTATTATCTCCAATCCTCAACTCAGCTCTGAGCTAAGTGTAATAAGTGGAGCAATACTCTCTGCAAAAGCAATTATGGTGCATAACTTATTTTTGCCATCGAACTATACATGCTTTCAGCAAATGTCTCCCTTTTAGTGTGAACAGCATTAACTTTAAAATGCTCTGGTTACTTGTGGCTGATCAGTCACATAATCAATGTGCAATTGCTAAAACAATTACCATTACTAACTACGGCGGATGAATTGTGTGAGATCTCCCTCAGTGTAATTCAACGATGATTATATTATATGGGTTCAGTACATTTGGTTTTCATAAATTGTGCATAGGTGAAATATTCCTGCTGTTGAGAACTAGGAATGATGTGATATCTCTGGAAGCAGTGGTTTGATCTCTTCCTGCGTCTACAACTAAGCAACATTCTGCCTACAATTATTGATTGAATGCCAGTAGGCACCAACGCTCGCTTGTTCTGAGGGGATCCTACAGGAGCTGTACTGGAGGTCCTTTGATTTGTTTCAGTAGATAAGAGCAGGCTTATTAAAGAGAGAACTGGTATTTAGACTGATGTGTTTAAACAAAATCCTTGATTCAAGTAATGACAAGTGTAGCCGATTGATGGGAAGTGCCAGAATCCTTAAATAACCAGCTCATGTTCTGCAAAGTTATTTAGCCTTACTTCACAAGCTGGCTATGTGTCTATTGGTACACTTTTCACCTCCAATCCTACTTATTAGATAATTATTTAACAGAAGCACACAAAACAATTCCTTGGATTGATTATTACTGTTGCAAAATAATAATAATCCTTGCATTTCATATAGCGTCTTATCACATCTTCAAGACGTCTCAAAGCACTTCACAGAATATACTGTAAAGTGAATTGACTGTTTTGTTTTGTGGGCGAAGTTAATTTCTTTATGGAGTTTCTATGGTAAATGCAATAGGCTTGGTCATTCAGTTTGTACAGAGATGAAATTCTGGCTGAAGTACAGCATTTGCTACAGATAAGAGTTCAGGCAAACAAGCTTCATTAGCATATTGTAAATGCCTTGCCAGATGCATCAGGAAAAGCCCTGCTATGGATGAAGTAATATTTTATTTATAGCATGAAAAAGCTGTATTGCAGGTTGTATATTTTCATTTCGAGATATTTCCCATTGGAGCTCACCCGCCTTCTAGAGCAGATGTTAATGTCTTTATGGTAAATTACATTGGGAATTGTACAAGTAACATGCCAAGGCCAGTGACCAACACTTGTATGTGGGGAAACGGGTTCAAACTAAAGGAAAACTAAGGAAAACTCTAACATTTATTTCAAAATATATATTTCTCCCATATTACTAAGAACTATGAGTACTTATGTTTTCAAAGGCAAATATTTCCTCAATCAATTTTCTATAATATTTCAGGGGGGGGGGGGGGTGGAAATAAGTATTAAATCATACGATGAAGTTCAGTGAAATTTACGTTTCCTTCCAGAATCTTACAATCTGGGCTCTCCATTGGCCTCATAGGTTGACACACTAGCGAGTACGGCATTAAAACGTACAGAATACTAAGGCTTAGATTCAATACCCACTCTGTCCAGTCTAGAGTTACCTTGATTTTACCGTGAGCACTAAAGTAATGGATGGGAGCCAGTGCTCTAGCA